TGCTGTTCATGGTGAAAATGCCTGCCCAGTAGAAATTGTGAATAATACAGACAGCTCTTTGAGGCTCTGCTAATAAACACATGAAAGGATTTGAGGGAACTACATGAAAATACCGGTTGATCGAAATCCATTTTAATGTCACCAGCTGGGGAGAAGGTGTATTATTCAGGGCTGGAGTTTCTGACAATTAACATGCATCTTTTGTAATTGAGATGCTGCTTTTTATTTTTGCAGTCCAAGTTTGCTCCAATTTCTCCATCAATACCAGGCTGTATCACCAGGCAGGGGGAAACAGCCATGACCTGCTGGAGCTGCTCTGATGGAGCGGAAGGTTTTTCCAAGCAAATGCTAAGGAAGGGCAGTAGATGGTGCTGTTATTCTCTTTTTTGAGGAAAGGGCTGGCAGACTGAAGACAGAGGCACAACTAGGACTATACACAAGGTGTTACCAGTCCCCAGTGCCCCCAAATCATAAATCAGGCTCCTTTGATTTGTGGGATTTGGCCTTCAGAAAATCTTCAGGTTAAATCAAAAGGCGTCCTTCTCTACAGCTTGTGTATTTTGATCTTGCTGATGAGATTTGGAGGTCACATTTTCAAGCTTTCTGTTGTAATCATGTAATTTGAAATTTATCTTTTCCTCTTTTTTTTTTTTTTTTTCTCTTTCTCTTTCTGTAATAATGTGAAGTGGAATCCTCTAATCATGTCACAAGCCAGCAAGATTTAGGGGAACTAAATTCAGTTAAGGAGAAACACCAGGATTGTGAAACTTGGCAGTAGTACAGATGCTGGTTTCAAAACAGACTGGACTTGAAGGTTGTTGGCAAATCAAATACATCTGACCCTGAGTGATTTGGGATGCCAGGAACGGGTCCGTGACCACAGAGCTTCCTACCCCATGGGTCACCGAGGCGCGTGCTTGAGGGATGACCCTCCTGGCCTGCATCAATCTGGATACCCAATTTCCTGAACAGCAGCAAATGCTGTATCAGGATGACATTTATCAGCTCTTTTTTTTTTTTTTTTAATGACCTGAGGATGTATGAGGCCTGATTCTTCCCAGTGGCATTGGAGAGGACAGAATTGGGCCACTTTTGGATTCCACTTTTATTTGCCTCTCTCTGCAATGGTAGGTCTAAGTCCAGCCTTAGCAAACATTTCTTAACAGGGCAGCAATGATTGCGCAGGTTGGACAACCCGGCGCCGGTGAAGGTGGCCAGTGTGTGAAAGTAGGCAGGGGCCATGGCAGCTCTCCTGCCCGTAACCTCCTCCTGCCTCGGGGTGGGCTTGGCAATGCCCCCAGCTCCCTCCCACGACTCGCAGCCCCTCTCATGGTGTTTTCTCCAGCTGCAGCTGATCGTGCTAAAAGTAGCCTGGAACAGGGTAGTGGTGGTTCAGCTTTGGACTTTCCAGAAGTTTACTGGTATTCTGGCCTCATGACTCCAGTTTAGGCCACCTGATGTAGCTTTGCTCCCATTTCCCTGTTTGGTGGGGAACAATCTCAGATAACATACAGATAACAATCAGCAGCCTGAACTCAGCTCACTTTCTTATTTTAGGATTGCTATAGACATGGTCATTAACAGCTCCAAGAAATACAATAGGCAGGGCCTGGTCCTTCCCTGCTGCGTGTCCCCTTTCCAGAAGAGCTGCTGCCAAATCCTCTCCATGATGAAAAAGCAAAGTGGGCTCCTATATAAAACCCCGCTGCAGGTCTGGGGGGACAGTGGTGGTCTGACGCTGGGCTGTGCATCAAAATGAGCACCCAGCCATGCACACTTTAGCCACCATACTGCTCTGCAACGCCGTCCGTGCTTGCAACACATCGAGAAGAGCAGGAGAGATTCTCTCCACTTGCAAGCGGAGCAGCCCCAGGAGCGTGGGGTCCACGCCGGCGAAGGGCAGCGCTGCTTTCTGGGCTAACGAAACACGTCGTAGGGACTAATTAAAGTTGTGCCGGGCCAAAGGGAGTGGGATGGGGCAAGTGCGAGTGGAAGGGTCAGGCTACAGATCCACTCCCTGCTCCAACAAATGGTTATTTTATATTAAATAATGTGTGTGATAAACTACTTCCGTGAGACTCAGAGCAGAAACCGGAGCTGCCTCCTTTCCGTTGTCTCTCCCCAAACCCACCCTGTTTACCAGGTGGAAACAGGAGTTCTTGACAGACTCCTCCTTCCCCAAACCAGACCTTGCTGTCCCCCCGAGACACGGTCTTCTATGGACAGTAGAGAAAAAGTAAAACCAGGAACTATTTTACCTTTTTTTTTTTTTTTTTTTGACAGAAGCGGTACCCTTTGGCCTAGATCATGATCACTGGTCGTGCTGCATGAGGAAGAGCTTCTCTCAATGTTAAATTACTGCCACGTAATGAGTAGGTTTCCCTGTTGTTGTGTCCCGCAGATACAAAGGGGCAAGGGGCAGCATCCAGTTCCTGCCCTCTTTCCTGTTACTGGAATAGTTTTAAAGAGCTTATTCTCTTAAAATGACAAGATAGAATGAATAAAATACAATCCCTGTTTTAATACTGTTGGGTTCTGAAATATGCCAGTTAACATTTAAATCTGGGCAGGAACAAGTGTTACTGCAAATGTTTTACCTTCCCATAGTTTATACCAGTGCTGCATTCCTTGTGCACCAGAGGTCTGGTCCAGCTGAGGTAGGAAGGTGGTGAACATGGTGTGAGACCAGTCAGTCTCCAAAAATGCAGGGCAAAATTCACTAGTCATATAAACTCAATTGGTTCAGTTAATCTATATAAAGAAAAACCTCAGTCCACAGTGGGAATTTAGCATCTGACCGAAAGGAAAAGCTGAGCCCTGAAAGGATAACTGTTGCGTGGTGTATTCAATAATTGCATTTAGGAATAAAAAATTAATTATTACCAATGAATCTCTTGCATATTATTGACAAAGGCACAGAAGCTGCTTTTTGGTGCTGCTGACTTACCCATTGTCAAGCATGAACTGAGCAATTGTAGTGGCTGCTCCCTTAAGAAATTGTCCAAGATTCAGACTTATTTGTGTGCCCTGGCTTGCATCAATTAACAGTACAATCTTTTTGTTATGAAAATGCAAACATTAGTAGCCTGAGGGGTCTTGTAAATGCAAATATAAAACTATAATTTCAATTTCCCTCTAAGTACAAGAAAGGCTCTTTTTTTTTGTTTGCCGTTACAATGACAAGTCTTTTTTATTATTATTATTATTATTACTATTTTCTTGCTTTAAACATGAAATTTAATTTAACCCAGGGAATTTCAGTGGGGATCATTTTCAGTCGGGATGCGGGGAGGCTGCAGCCAGCTGCTGAAAGCCGTGGGCTCCTCTCGCAAGGGCCGGGCTCTGAAGGGTGTGGGGAAGGGGGGACGCTTGGCCCCACAGAGGAGGCGGCGAGCTGGGCTGGGCAGCGTGCCCACAGCTGGTGTGGGGCTGGCCCCCTCGGCTCGGGGAGAATTCCCACGTGAAGAGTCTTTCCGCTCGCTTCTGGCATCCGAGGAGCCTAAATTAGGCACCCGCACCTCTGTCACGGGCAGAGGAAAGAGAGAGAGACCTTGAGATGTGTCCTTCAGAGGCAGCTTGGCCCCCGGGTGGGTGACCATCGCTATGGGGCACCATTTTGCGTCAAAACTGATGGGTTTGTGCTCAGTGCCATGGGGCGGTACCAGGCAAAAGCAAGCTGTCTCTTCAAAAGTAAGGTGGGAGATGGCACCTGAGTGCACATCACTGAGGCATAATGAAAGAGTGGGAGGAAAATCCAGGGTCTGTCTTCCCCTTTTTTTCTACACCACGCATATAAAAGTAAAATATGAAGACAGCCCACTTTGCTTTCTTCCTCCCAGGCTGGCCGTGATATACCCAGGTATGTGTCTAAACAGATTCCTGGAAAACCTGCCCTTGCCGAGGCGCGATCTCTAGCGCTCCGGTTACAGTCTGCAGCTCGGCGAAAAGCAGCAGGGAAGCGTGTCCTTGCTTGGGGGGGTCCTACCTGTCCCCCCATCCCTTACTGCCCTCCCCGCCTGCCTCTGCAGGCAGAGCAACACCAGGGAGCCAGCAGGATACGCGCCTCAGCACAGGATTTGGCCCAGCAGTGGTTTGCCAGCACACAGACGGAAGGCTGAGGTGAGATACAAGACAAAAAAAAAAAAAAAAAAAAAAAAAAAGTGGTTAGATGTTGTCCTGAGCAGTTTCCCTTGGTACCACACACTCATTCCCACTTCATGTGCCCCCCCCGGACACCCTGCTCGGAGCTGCTAGCATCACCATCCCGCCAGCCTGGGTTCCTGGGAAACCTTTACTTCCTTGGTGATTTGTAATTAGACCAAAGAGGCGATTAACCAACGTCATAGCCCCTCACCCAGCTCCGACCCCTCTCGTTACGCTCGTTTGCTGAAGCTGCTGGTGCAGGAGGGCAAAGCTGCTGCGGTTAGGCGGTGGGACCCAGCGGGTGGGTGGCGTGGCCAAGCCCACCCTGCAGCCCTGAGCACCCAGGGCAGGATCAGGCCCTGCCACCCTCGCCCTGGGGGGGTCTGCCAGGGGTCGGGGGCTGTGGGTACCACACCCCCCCCTGCATCCGCCCTAAAAAGATCCCGCTCAGCATCTGGAGCAGAGCTGGAGGGCAGGAAGAAAAACCAGGAGAAAAATGTTTAAAGTTATTTGTGACCAGTTTTCTCCCCTTCACAGCGTTACCACCTCTCGGGAGTCCTCCAGCCTTGGATCGCCTGGTTGTTTTCCTTCCCCCCCCCCCCCCCCGCCCCCCATTGCACTCCTCTCTGGTTTGTTGAACGCTAGAGGCTCCCTCCCTCCTTCTGGCCTGCGAAAAAAACTTTAGTTCCTGACTCTTTTTTTTTTTTTTTCTTAACTTCCCTCAGGAAAAAAATGTGGAGTTAATTATCTATGTAAAATGTCAGATGCAGGAAAGGGGCTGTGCTTACTTGGATATCCCATCCGAGGCGAAGTGACTGATTTTTTTTCTCCCCCCTTCTTTTTTTTTTCTTTTTTTTTTTTTTTTTTTTTTTTTTCCTAAGGGGTGGAAAGGACCTCGCGAAATAAAAGTGCAGAAACAAGCCGGTGGCTCCCAGAGCGGCCGGGGCGGGCGCGGCGGGAGCCCCCAACGCAGCGCAGCGCGGAACCGAGCGCGGAGCCCACCTGCCCCCGGGAGTCAGCACCGCCCGGCTCCTCGCTCCGCACCTTTTCCCCCCGCGTACTGAGATCTTTGAAACTTTGATCCATATAGCTTTTTTTTTTTTTTTTTTTCTTTCTCCCTCCCCTCTATTTTTCCTCCAGGACTTTTCCACCGCCTTGGGACACCCGCAAACTTCTCCCTCGCTCCCCCCTTCCCTCCCGCCCCTCTTTTGCTGGTGGTTTTGTGCTTGTTTTGTTTTTGTTTTGCCCCCCTTTTTTTTTTTTTTTTTTTTTTTTTTTTTTTTTTTTTTTTTTTTTTCAAATTGTTGGAAGACCCGCCTGCCTTTCGCCTCCCGTGCCCCACCGGAGAGGCCGGGAGCGGCTCCGGCAGGGCGGGCAGCACCTCCCCGGCGCACCGCGTGTGAGCCCGGCGGCCCGGCCCGGCTCGGCTCGGCTCGGCCCGGCTCGGCTCGGCTCGGCTCGGCCCGGCCCGGCTCGGCACGGCTCGGCTCGGGCGCTCGCCCCCGATAATGCAGAGCTACAAGTACGATAAGGCGATCCCGCCGGAGAGCAAGAATGGGGGCAGCCCGGCGCTGAACAACAACCCGGCCAAGAGCAGCAGCAAGAAAGCCCTGCTCATCTGCCTCGACTTCCTCTGCCTCGTCATGGGTGAGCAGCCGCGGGGGCTCCGCGGGGCTCCGCGCCCCTTCCCTCCGCTCCTCTCTCCCCCCCCGCTTCCCCTTCAGCAGCCCCCCCTTTATCCCTCCCCCGGACTCCCACCCTGGGAAGGTTTCGCGGCGGGAGGGCGGGCAGAGTTTTCCCAAACAAAAGCGGAGCGGGGCGGCCGAGGCGAGCCGGGCCGGGCAGCGCGTCCCGCGGGGTCACAGCGGGGCTGGCCGGGGGGGGGGGGGGGAGCGGGGCAGCCGGCATGTCCGCGGGGAGAGGTGGGCAACACCCCCCCCCCCCCGCCGCCCCGATTTACTGGTTGTTATGCTTATTTTATTTATTGTTTTCCTCCCTCTGCCTGACCCCGCGGGGGGGGTTGGCGGGGGGGGGCTCCGTGGGTTTGGGGATGCGCCCCCGAGGTGCCCCCCGGGCCGTGCCCCGCTCCCCCCCGGCCCGGCCGGCGGCCCCTGGGCAGGCGCCGGGGCCAGCTCCAGGTGGAGGTAGTGCTCTACCGCTGCAACGAGCCGCGCTGCTTGGGTTTGCTTTTATATTTTTGTTAATAATAATAAAATAAAAAAAAAAAAAAAACCACACCAGCTTTTGCCACTCTGGTTGCTCGGCGTGGCTCCGAGGTCGGGTTTCCCCGTGGTGCTGTCTTTCCTCCCTCTCCCGCTCCTGCACCCAGCGCAGGCATCTCGCTAAACTCATTTCTTTCAAAGATTGCTTTGAAGTGCTCTCAGGCATCTCGTAGTCCCTGGCAGAGGCCTTGGTTTGCTAGCCTGCTTGGCTTTTGAAAACGGTATGGCATGTAAGGAAACTGTCAACAGGCTGTCTCAAAAAGATTTTGCATGCCAAAACATCAACCGTTCAATTGTGGCTGCAATGCTGAATATTTAATTGACAGACACAGGCAGGGGAAATCAACTGGCTTCCAACAAAGAGATTAATAACACAACAGCACGTGAGTTTAATACTCCAGACACCACAGTCTTTAAAACAATTGTTTCTGCTTAGAGCCCATTTTTAAAGGACTGTCAGTTTGATTTAATTTTTATGTAGTTTATTGATCATCTGGTGTATATTACGAGGCACTAATACATTAAGAAGAGAGGCATGGTTTTCTCTTTATATTCCCACAAGAATAGGGGCCAGTGCAGAAAGCTTCATCTTCTTGTATCTGGAAAAAATAAAAATACTTGATATCCCGTAAATGAAACTAATATAAGTAGAAACATAACTAGCTTGACTTACCTCACTTATTTAAACAGAAGGTTGGATTCCTAATAAAACAACTTCTAGGAGTCAGAACTTTTAAAGTTTTATTTATGCAAGTTTTCTTAACTTCAGGAGTTCCTGGCATGAGTAAGTGTTATTTGAATGGATAAAGAGTTTTTCTTCCCCTTCTCTAGACTAAGGGAACTAAATGAAAAAGCAGTTCGTGGACATGTGTTATTCTACTTGTGATAGTTTGGGTAAACAGAACTTATTAATCATCACTGGAAGGTATTGTTAGCAGGGAATAATGGGATATAGCAAAAACTCTGATTGTTGCTTTATTTCACATTTGACTACAGGTGGAAATCAGAAAGTAAACACCAGAGTTGGTTGGGTTGGGTTTGGTTTGTTGTGTTGGGGTTTTTTTTTTGTTGGTTTTTTTTGGTGGGTGTGTGTGTGTGAGGAGCATTTAAGAGCATGAGTTTAACAGCTGAAGGAAAGTGTAGATGTGGCTGATCACTGGCAGGTGAAGAGCTCGGGTGGGACATGGTAAGGAAGGTGATTATATGAAGGATAGCCATGATGTGTGTTTGGGGATTGGCTTTTCAAATACACCCAGACCAGTAGTATTGGATCTGCTGGTGGATGACTGGGCATGAGTTGCTGTGAAAGCCAGCTGCCCCACTTGCAGGAGGCTTGGCTTGCTCTTCTCTCTGCCTTTTCCTAGGGAAGACTAAGAGCTTATAGTTTCCAAGCACTTGATTCCCATTTTCTTCCTTCCCGAGCTTGTTAAAAAACAAAACCAAAACCCAACAGTTTAGAGGTGAAAAAAAGGTGCTCTGGCTGAAGCCTGTAAGAGAAAGTTGGACAGGTACAAGTTGGTGGATATTTATACATTCAGTAAAAAAACCCTGAGTCCTGTGTAAGATAATGAGAAGCAGAATTGGGTGAAACAACTTGTTTTCAGGAGGTACTCCGTAGAGGTCTTCTGCTGATGCATGTAGGCACATGGCCAATGGCCTCCAGTGCATTTAAACTGAGTTACGCCTCTTGAGTGGCTGCCCAAAGACATTCAGCGTAGCAGGGAAACAGAAGGCTTTTTCTCATTTGAGGACCTCTTTAGGAACTGTTAAAACTGGTCGTCTGATTTGCAGAGGTCTGTGACATTGCATTGGCTTCTAAGGCAGCTACTGCGATAATTCTGACCTGAATCAGTTCTCTATGGCGGGGAAAATGAAAAGAATAAACTATGGCTGAAATGTCTTTCAGAAATGACACACATCAGCTCTCTGAGGTGGTAGATGTGTACAAACCCTTCTTTGTTTACATACAAATTTAAACAAATTACTCAGAAGACAATTATCATAAACATCTAAGAAAGTCAGAATAAGTAAAGCAGAGCTATCAGGAGCTTCCTTCAACTTTAATTTGGCGCGAGTCATTAGAAAGATCCACTTTTGTCTTTCATCGTTAAGTACAATGGTTTATCTTGATAGTAGATGCATAAGGGGGAGATTTGTATCTTCCTTCCTTGGGGATCATGGGGAGCAAAGAAGTGCATTGCTACTGGAGTAGGTTGGATGAAGACCCGCTGAACCAGGCCCCCCTCCCCCCCATTTCTCATGCATTTCCAACTTGTGTTGGGTTGGCAGAGAGCTGAGTATTTTGGAATACCCCACTCCTCTAATGAGTGCACTTGGCACTAACAAATCCTTGATTTCTTGCATGAACAAGAGGTTTCATCACTGACGCTGTGAACTTCCCAGAAATTTCATGTTGGCGCTTAACTCAATAAAAAAAGAACTGAGTGTGCATTTATTAAAGCAGGTCATCCAAGGGGGGAAAATAACTTTCTCCATCTGCTTCCTCCTCTCAGGAGGGCTCTGTTTAGAGAATTAGAAGATGCTTCCTGAAATTGTTAGGGCTGCAGGCGAGGTTGGTGGTGTGGAAGAGTCCCTGCTGCCCCGTCCCTGTCTCTCTGGTCACTGTGACACATCTGAAAATTATATGGAGAAGCTCAGCCAGGGCAGGGGGGCTGTAGTTGTCCCTGTTCAGATGGTCGGTGTCTTCACGCTGTAGAGCTGTGGGGAACTCTGAGCAGCAAAGAAGGAGGTGTGATGGGAAGACCTCGCTCTGCCTTCATCTGATCATCCTGAGCTCAATCACAGCCCCATCCCTTTGCCAGCAGTTCCTGCCCAGAGCGTAGAGTTGTTACGGGGGGGACTGGTGTGGCCCTGGCTGGGACAGGTCCCACAGGGCAGCTTTCTCCCGTGCCTTGAGGTTTTGCTGCCCAGGTGTAGCGCTGCATGGAGCTGCTGCAACCCGGCCACCACCTCTCCGTAGGAGACGGTGGCCCCGTGGGGCAAGGCCTCCTGCCCTGAACCTTGAGGGGGGATATTTTGGAGCCTGGTCCCACAGATGTAGCATCTAGGGTTAAATTTACTCCTCTCAGACCTGCTTTGGGGTTATTCTTTTGCCTTTTTTTTTTTTTTTTTTTTTTTTTTTTTTTCCCCCTTGGCAGGGACTCCCCGGGTTCAGCAAACTCTGAGCAGCCACCTGCGCTCTGCTGACGGGTGCTAAATCGAGCGTTTAATCTCAGAAGAGGGGAAGGCTGTGTCAGCAAGGCCGATGGGGCAGATGAGGGTCTTCAGTAGCTTGTATTTGTGCAGCTTGCGCAGGTAGAACAACTTCCAGAAAGTCCTGTTTGTGCTGTAAAACAGAGGGATTTCATCTGGCATACCTGCTTCCTAGGCTCATGGAAATCGGGTTTATGTGAGCATATGTTTCAGGCTGGTGAGATGTAAACTGCACATAATTTACTGCCCTTCTTATTTTCTGTCTCTAATTTAATTTTCTCTCTTCTGTCAATCCCAGTTAATCTGTACAACACAAGTTTTACTGCCTTTGGGAGGTTTTGAAGCAACAGAAGGATAGGCCTCTTATGACCTTAATATCTCTTCAGATTTCTCACCAATTTGGCATCTCTTTTTCTGTAGTAAACTTGATGCTAAAATGAACTTTGAAAGTAAATGTTTACACCAGCAGGACCTTGACATGTTTATATAAGTGGGGATATAATCTTATAATTTGGGCTAACAGTTTAGATTACTCTTAACTTTCCTCTTCTGTGTAGAAAATTGTGTCATCGTCCAGCTTTCAGAAGCAAAAAGGGTTTGAGCTCTGCCAGGGACTTGGTTGCTCCGTCACAAAAATCGGCACAAACAGGACTGGGATTGTCATTTAAGTGCAAGGAGTGGGAGGAATTAAACATGAAGGATGAGGTTAGAGTTATTTGGATGCTGTAAAGTTGAATTTGATGAGCTAAGCAACTTTGCTTTGTTTGGGTTGGGTTTGTTTTTTTTTTTTTTTTATTACTTTTAAGACTACCCTGCCGTGCTGGGCTCACTTGTCGTGTAGGTAATATCTTTCTATAAACTCCTGAAGAAACTGCTGACCCAACCATTTCTTATTTTCGGCAAGGGACAGTGAGATCCGACTGTACTTAAACCATCCAGGCAGTCCCAACACCTTGGCGTTGTCTTCTCCATGCTGTGTCTTCTCTGTATTGGGGAGAACTGAGTCCATACCACACGCGAGAAGCTACGTGGGTGGAGAGTCGTCATCGTGTTTTGAGCATCACTAGATGGGGTTTGGTCGTTAATGTTTATGTATCACTTATTTTAATACCTGTAGGATCTCTTGGCGGCAGCGAGCTCCCTATGAGGCAGCAGAGTCTGTCTCGGGGATGGCTGGTCTAGAAGTGTTTTGTCAAAGGCAGGTTTGCAGAG